TGGCCTTTACGATGGACCCAATCAATGAGATGTGATTTAGACACGGGGTTCCGACTGCGTGTGCCCGATCCCACTTCCAGTTACCTTGACTCTGTCGTCACAACAGGCACTAGCGGGTAAGGGAAGAGAGTGTGCGGTGGATACAACGCAAACATATTACCACTTAGGTTTACTCCAGGCATACGCCATCGTCTCTCTACCACTGCGCTGTGGAAAACACGGTTGATATCGCTGCAATCGATGGTTGACAGCCCTAGTTATAAGCGTAAACACAATCCTAATCTTTAACCTGACCTTCCTGTGCTACACAACATATGCAGGGTAATTTTTTGTTGTATAGCTCTTCGATGGCAAATTATGTTCGAAAATATCCTTCCGAATCGTCGGAAAATTTATGAGATACGTCCCCTACTGTATTTTATGCATGGGACAGCCAATTTTTATGTTACATACATGGCTAACCATGTCAGGTTCGTGACATATGGGTGCTGCCATCTTCCCCCGTATTCTTTTTTGTTTTCGAGCTCCAAGTCAGAAGGCTTACAATGTATGAACAACCTGGAGCTGCGCCACTCAAAATGGAAAGAAGCCCAGCGTGACTATTTGTACTTATTTATACGTCATCAGTAAACCGTGTGGAACTCAAGGCCCAAAACAGCCTGGGCAAGAGTGGAGAAAAAGAACGCCTCCAGTACTGTAAGTGATATGGCGTTAAATTTCAGAGAAGATACCTATTTCCGTGTCCTAATCCAAAAAAACTTACCATAATTCAAACCTTAACTGCAACCCCAATCTTAACCCAAAGTCGTTAATTAACACAAAACCTTAAGATACCCTTACACCCCAAAAAAAAACCTAGCCTTAATTTTTTTTCAGAGGCTAGCACCGAGCCACGTGTGGTAAGGGACACATTTATTTTCCCCATCTAGGCATGTATCAAGAGAAATACTCAACCGGTAGTCTGTGTGGCTGTGTAATTTATAGCGAACTACGATTTCTCCTGGATAATTGAATTAAAGAACATTACAATACTTGCGTACAGGAGTAGAAAATGCGATCGCTGGAACAGGTGGTTT